TGGATTTTATTTGCCAAGGCGTAAGAGTAGATTCAAAACTCAATCTCTGGTCTAATGTATATAGTTTTACTTCTTTTTTTTAATTGCAGCAAAAGGCTCGAGTCCATACTATAAATAGCTAGCATGTGCTTGACAGAACACAGACAAGCTCATTGTAACTGTATATTTTGTACGCTCATCCTGGAGGAAGAAAATCGTATAGTCAATTTTCCGATATTGTACTCATCAATCATAGGCTTGCCGATTTGCTTGGACATAACATGTATATACATAATTATGGGAGGAAAATACAAATAGGTTCCACGTCGCTCCTCCTTCAGGACGAGTTGAACTTTGTAAATTGTTGTAGTATTATATGTTCTTGAGAAGGTGTATTTTTTTGTAGTAGTTCAGTCATTTATAGAAACTTTAGCTTATAATGAGCAGAACTGTTATAGCAAATTGTTATTTATATGAAAAGCTGTTTTTAGCCTGTGATAGTTCGTTGACTGTAGAGTATGATGCTAATGATGCATACATTATTTGAATTGTGAATGAGACATATGAGGGTAAAAATTGCACAGGGCGCCCTATTTGGTCGCTCATATTTAACCTATACCCATATTTTTAAAATTCTTTAACCTATACCCTAATTTTGACAACTTCAGATGCCTCCTCTTCTTCCTCGTGACCTATGCGCTCCTTTCTTCCTCCTCTTCTTTTCCTCTTCTTCTTTTCTCTCTCAAACACATGAGACTTTGTATAAGTATTATTGATTGAATCTGTAAAGTTTTTATTAAATCTTATCAACTACCATATTCTATGTTGAAGGACGAGTAAATAAAACTCCAAGTAGGTGTGATTTGTGTCTTTTCCTGATCCATCCTTCTTAAACATACAACAGCAACTGACTACTACATGTCCTCTATTCCAAGTTACTTGCCACAAGAATGCCACATGCATGTGAAATTTATTATACACAATAGTTGCTCTCGCGATCTCTTGGAATTAGCTTACCCCTTGCTTTATGATATCATCTACAGGAAAACGACAAAAAAGGGCTGCAGAATTGAAAAATAACTTCAGAACATTATCAAAAAAATCAATTAAAACTTCAGCACAATTTGGCTTAAGTTATGCTGAAGTTTAGCAAATATGAAACAAAAATTTCAGCTCCTAGAATGCTGAAATTCAGCAAATACAAAATAAAACTTCAGCTCCTAGAATGCTGAAGTTCAGCAATTACAAAACAAAACTTCAGCTCCTAGAATGCTGAAGTTCAGCAATTACAAAACAAAAACTTCAGCCAAAACATGTTGTAGTTTTATTGCACTGAAGTTTGCCGTTGCACTATGAACTAAAGTTTGCGTGATTGCTTTTGCAAGTCAGGCCAAACTTCAGGCAAAAATATCTAAAGTTTTGCTTTGATAAGGCTACACTTCAGGCAAAACATTCTGAAGTTCAAACTTCAGACATAAATTTTTGCTACTTCAGGCCCGTATGTCTGAAGTTACTCGAAAAGTGGGTACGCTTGTAATTTTTTTTGCAAAGCGGGTATAAGTTAAAAGGAGACCCAAAAACTGGGTATAGATGCAAATGTATTGGACCTGCATTTGAAGTAATGTTTCTGTATGAAGGCTTTAAGTACTAGATTTAGTACTTGAAACTGTTTAAATTTAAGAGAAATTTTCATAAAGCACTATCTTTTAGTAGTAATTAGCCATCTATAGATACCATTTGCTATATTACGAATTATAGATACCTTTTATGTGGTTATAAGATGTATTTGATGTATTTAAGCTATTGTATTCATGAATACAGTAGCAAAAATAGGCGTGAATCAGGGAAGTCCAGTCTAATCAGTTGTTGTATTCGAGTGTATTCGACTGTATTCATGGAGTGA